CTGCGGTCGCAGGCAGCCACGACTGTCCTGCTCTGCCTGCCTCGGACCCCCTGTCTCACTCACACTAGCTCTGGAGTTCCTCTGCCTGCATCCAGGTCCTGGCCCCACTGTGCGGCTCTGGCAAGTAACAGCTCAGCGCCTCAGTGTTTTCATCTGTAAAATGGGTACAACACGGCCGACGCTTTAGGGTTGCGATGAGGGACTAGCGAGACATTGCACATTCGGACCCCAGCACAGTGCCTAGCAGAATGCTCAAATAAGGCTTAGCTGTGAGTTTTTAAATTGTCATTGTTACTCCATCTATTTAAGAGAAGTGGGCGGAGGGGGTGAGGGGAGAGCCTGTGTTTCTGTGTTTTTTATAGAAAGGGCTTCCTTGCTAGTTCCTTTTTTTCTCTTTCCTGCTTTCCTCTCTACAAGCTGCCGGAGCCAGTGGGTCTTTGAGCTCCTGGCCCCCAGCCCTAGGCAGGGCTGGGCCCTGCTCTGAGGGCTGACCCCACTGAGACAGGCTCCGTGGACTTTCCTCTCAGGGGCCTGGGTTGTGCCCCCCACCCCCGAATCCTGTACTCACCCCTCCTCGGGTTCACGTAGCTTTTTCTTCCCTTGACCAGATCTGAAGCCACTCCTGCCTCTCTGGCTGCGCTTTGAGCCTCGGGTGCTCCTGAGGGCCCCCCATCTTCCAGTGACCCCGAGGGGACCCCTCCCCCCTCAAGGGCATTTGCAAGCGGAGCTGGGAGGGATGGGCCCGTGGCTTTGGCTCTGTGGGCTGCCCTGCCCACTGACTCCGCCCTAAGAAAGGGAGGTCAAGGCGAAGACCTCTGCTGCCCACCTCTGGTGTTCACTCACTCCCTCGGAAAAGGGATGGGCCCAGAGGGAAAGGGAGGTAGGGGTGGGGTAGGCAGGCTGACCCCAAGACTTCTGGGTTCGTCTGCCGGGTTTGAATCCTGCCTGGGTTTGAGCTGCATCCCAGGGTGATATGGGGACCCCGTTTTCTGACCTGTGCAATAGGGATGATAATCACAGTCCGAACCTCAAGCGTTGTTGTGAGGATCCAGTGAGGGAGTGCATGCCAGGTAGTTTGAACCGTGCCCAGCACGTCACATGGTCTAGATACGTGTGAGTCACTGAGTCTTCCTAGAAGTGCCGAACCGAGCGAGGCCTTGCAGGTCAGCTAGTCCTGGCCCAGAGAGGGACAGGGTCTTTCCCTCTGTCACACAGCAAGGCAGAAAATAGGGTAGTAACCGGAGGCTGGGGATGTGCGGGTAGGGGCTCAGAGTCTTGGGGAGGCAGGAGAGACTGCCCCAGCGGGGAGCAGCGTGGCCGGGCGCAGGGGCCGAGGAACCAGACCCTGGGGCCGAGCTGCGGCCCTGCGCTGGCCGGCGGTGCGCCTTTGGGAGTGATGCCTCTCCTCTTCCCTGCATCTCGTTTCCTCTAGTGCGTCCCTCACGCGGTCATTTCAACATTGAAGTGCAGTGTCCTGGTGGGTCACGGACTGTGAGCCGGGGGTGGGTGGGCTGGTGCTGGGAATCATGGCGGTGAGTAAGACGGGCTGGACCCCGCCCGCCTGGGGCTTCCCTGCCGGTAAACAGAGGCAGACGATAAAGAAGGTAGCAAGTAAGAAATTTGGAGAAGAGCTCCTAGGACAACGGATCGGGCGGTGGGTCGTGCTGGAGGGGGGAGGCTGGTGTGACCTTGGGCAGCGTGGCCGGGGCGAGTCTCTCTAAGAAGGTGACATTTGAGTGGCAACCTAGGAGACGAGAAGCCACGGGAGGAAGCTTGGGGCGAAGCAGTCTCCGGCGAGAGGGGAGAGCGAGTGCAAAGGCCCCGAGGTGCGAGCGAGTGAGCTGGGTGTGTCAGGGGGGAACCGCAAGGAGGCTGGTTGGCTGGAGGGCCGTGGGCGGGAGCCGGGGACGGTCAGCCGGCCCCAGGTCTGGTGCCCGGATGGGCCCCTGAGAAGAGGCCGGATTTTCAGTGGGTCGGAGGTCCAAGAAGGCTTTCAGCAAGGATCCCTCTGGCTGACGTGCAGGGGAGACTGCGAGACTGGTGAGGGGCAGGAGTTGGGGGCGGGGGGCGGGGGAGGGGAGGCTGTTGAACTGTGAAAACTGGAGGGGCCGCCAGGGCGGGGCGGAGGCCCGGTGAGGAGGAGAGAGTGAGATAATGTCATCGCCTCCTCCTGCCTGGCCTGGTGCGGGCCTGGGAGCAGACCCGGGCAGAGAGGAGGCGTCTAGAGCCCGGATGCATGCTGGGGGGTGGGTCTGGAATCATGGGGTTGGTGGGGGCGGGGGGCCGGGGAGCAGCGTGATGCTGAGGACCAGGCAGGCCCCGGGGAAAACCTGGCCTGGGTGGGTGTGGTCTCTCTCCCTCTCTCTCTCTCTCTCTCTCTCTCTTTCTGAGAACTGCTGCTGCTATTACTCCCCAAAGACTTTACATAATTCTGGCCCAGCTCCCCGCTCATTATGTCATGCACGGAGCGGAGGGTAGGTCACTCCGTGGCTCGCTGCGGTCGGGGAGAACAGACTTCTGGCTCCCCTGGCACGGCAGCCGGCAGCCGGCGTGGACCCTCCCCGCCCCGGGGTCGGGGGGAGGGGGAAGATCGGCCAGCGGGGGTGGAGGTGCGGTCCAGCCCCAGGCCCTCTGGACGCTCCCTGTGGTGGTCCGTGGCCGACAGCAGCGGAGGGCTGTGCTCTGAGCTCCGTCTTCCTGAGCTGGGGGTCCTCCCCCGGAGCTCGGGCCCCAGCAGAGAGAGGCAGGCAGACCTGATGTCAGCCCTTCCTGCCGGCTTACTTCTCTGAACCCCAGTTTCCTCCCCTGTAAAATGGGGGCAAAGGCACTCAGGCGCGTGAATTGGGTGACCTCAGCGGGCTCACACGGGAGCCGGAGCTGTCTCCCCCTGGGAGTCACTTGGGGTTGCCTGGGCCCCAGCCCTGTGGTCCCGCCTCCTTCTTACAGTGTCCCTTCCCTACCCGCTGTCCCAGACCTTGCCCCCAGTCTCAGCGAGAATCAGAACAGGGCGGAGCCCCCCTTTGCACAGGTAGGAAAACCTGAGGCTCACAGCAGGGTGTAGAGGCCACACAGCCCAGGAGGGCGGACGCCAGACACAGAATCAGACCCTTAAGTCCCAGCCCAAGGCCCCTTCTGATGCGCGCGCCGCCTGCAAGCCCCAGGGTGCTGCAGAAGTTCAGGCCAGAGGGCACCCAGGCCTCGAAGGCAAGTTCCACCCCACCCCTGTGCTTTTACACACACCTCTGACTTTTCCTGCGGTGCATTTCTTTCTCTCTGGGGAAAGCAGGTTTGTGTGGTACTTAGGAAACTTGAACGATGGCACCGAGTGTCCCCCGCCCTGCCCCTGAGGACAGGCACTGGGCCCTCCCCGCCTCCTTCCGTGCGATCCTCACGCCGACCTGAGGACCATGGGTGGTTTCCCCCGTGTTACTGGTGAGGACACCGAGGCCCAAGGTCATACAGCTGGGCCAGGGGCTCAGACCCAGGGCCGTGCCCTGCAAAGCTCTCCCCTTCCCTGAGCCGTGCTGCCTCCGTGCGAAGCTCCGGGGGGTGGCAGAGGACCCTCCTGAGCCCACATCCCCACCCCGGGGGGCCTGCGCTGCGAGGGCCGGCGGGGAGCTGGCCCCGGGTTCCGGGGGACCGAGCGAGCACAGAGAGTCGTAGGGTGCTTGGATTAGGGGGAGCAGGGAGGACGGGGCGCCTGTACCCCCCATCTCAGCATCAGTTCGGGTCCCTGACTCACTGCTGACTAGGGTTGGGGGAAGGTGGCGGGAGGAATGTGCCAGCCCCCTTGTTTCTAGAATTACTAAATTCTTGTTAGATCTTTAAATTTTATGTAAATTCTTCTCTTTTTTCCGTGGAAAGGTGGGGTATCATATTTTAATTAGTAGTGGTGTCAAAGGAGAGCTAGATTAATGATTGGAAATCCTGCTTTCCAGATGGTTTTCATTTTCACAGCAGGGCACCGGGGTATATATTTTTAATTTTTTTTAATTAAAATCATACCCAGTGTATTTTAGGGGCACTGAGCTCCACTCTTTGTGGCTCCAAGGATGCTGTATTTGGGGCTATGATTTTGTTATGGAGAAGCAAGTCCCTTGTCACTGAAATTAAAATTTTGCGGGTGAGGGAGGGGCAGGTGCTAGGAAGCACAGGGTCAGGGCTGGGGGGGTGAGAGCGGGAGGGTCATAGGTAGAGAAGGACAGGGAGGGGGTGTGGTGGGGCAGGGGGACCAGGTGCGTGTGCTCAGGACCAGACAGGGGAGAGGACAGTCACCCTTTGGCCATTTGGTGTCCTTGTTCAGTCAGGGCTCTGGGAGGTCAGCTCCGGACACCCCGATCCTGCACAGCATGGACGGCAGCGGGGGTCTCCTGCCCAGGACAGGGAATGCTGGGCCCTGACTGGGACTTCTGGGCTCCAGGGGGTTAGTTACCTTTCAGCCTGGCCACCTTGACTGAGGAAGGTGAAATCCTGAAGATCGCCCGCCTCCCTGCCCCTGGCCTTCAAGGGGCAAACGTGCAGAGGTGGGCGGGGCCGGGGCCTCTGCCGGCCCCCCAAGGCAAGGCGTGTGTGAGAGTGTGTGTGCCTGAGTGTGTGTGTGTGCCCGTGAGAACTCCTGTGCGTGTGTCTGTGCCCTTGTTTCGGAGATGACTGCTTCTCTGGAGCTATTTGTCTGCCCGTCTTTGGGGAATGGAGTCGAGGGGCTGGGAGAGGTGGGTGAGGAAGGGAGGGGACGCCCGCGTTAGTGTTCGGTCACAGCGACAGAACCCCCTTCTCCCTCTGGCTGGAGCCATCTTGGTTCCCAGTGGAGTCCAGAGAGGCTGGGGGGGTGGGGTGCAGAGGGAACAGGTGGGGACGGCTCCCCTCTCCCTGCCTGAGAGGCGGGGTGCTCTGCGGGGACCTGGCAGAGGCCTCTTCCGAGCCTGACTTGGCGGCGGGGTGGGGGAGTGCCCAGGGACATGGTGAAAAAGCCTGTCTCCTTCTGCTTCTGCCTCCCGAAGCCCAGCTCCTCGTGGAGACAGACACCTTCGGCAGTCAAGTCCGGATCAAGGGCAAGGAGACGGAGTTCTACCTGTGTATGAACCGGAAGGGCAAGCTCGTGGGGAAGGTGAGTGCCGGTCTGGGGTTCTGGGGAACTTGGGCGGGTGCCCTCCGGCAGCCCCGTGTGGCTGGGACAGCCGGCCCAGGGCCATGGCAGCCTTCAGTGGAAACCAGCCGGGGGGGGTGTGTGTGAGATTCCCACAGCAGTTCCCCCCCACCTTTTTTAAAAAATTTTATTTATTTATTTTTAGAGAGGGAAGGGAGGGAGAAAGAGAGAGAGAGAGAAACATCAATGTGCGGTTGCTGGGGGTCCTGGCCTGCAACCCAGGCATGTGCCCTGACTGGGAATCAAACCTGCGACACTTTGGTTCTAAGCCTGCGCTCAATCCACTGAGCTGCGCCAGCCAGGGCGCAATCCCTCCTTTTGCCCCTTTCTCCTCCGCCCACTCCCACAGCCTGCCAGGCCGAGTTACCCATGTTACTATTATCGTGACTGTGACTTGGGGAGAACGTGGGGCCCTGGGTCTCTCCTGGTGGATGTGGAACCCTAGCTGGTTGGGAGGGGTCCCCCGCCTGGAGGGGGGGGGTTCTGGGGCCCCCGGCCGCCGCCTGCGTGTACCTGATGTCTGGGAACAGGGAAGCAGCCGGCGGAGGGCTGGGCTGCGGCGTTGTTTTAACAATCGCCAGGCTCCGGAACTCAGCCGCCTCGTCAGCGCTGGGCCTCACGGTTCTAGCGTTTCAGGAAGATTTTATTACTTTGGAACGGGCAAGGGAGCGGCATGTAACAAATTAGGGCAGGGGTGGGGGTGCGGTCGGGTGGGCCCGTGTGCCAGGGGCTCCGAGCCTCCACCGAGGCCGCGTCTCAGGGGTCCCCGCTTTTTTCCCGAGTGTGCTTGTCTGTGAAGCTCGCACACGCGCTGCCTCTGGGACTTCCAGTGGGTGGTGTTGGTGGCAGTACCTCTGTTGGATCGTGCCTGTGTCCCCTTCTTTCTGCAGGGGTCCCCCCTCACTTCTGCACTAACTTGGGCATGGGGTGGGGGGGGGGTGGCAGGGCGGGGCTTCTGCCTGCTGGACAGGTGGAGCGGGTGTGGGGTGGAGTGTAGACCCAGATTCCCAGCAGGATGGTGTCTTTGGCTTGGGGGCAAGGCCCTGGCTCATTATTTACGTTTTTTACACCTCATTGGAGTGGGGGGGGCACATTACCCCAGCCTTGTTTAAGCCACGTTTTTGATTTCCTGCATCTCCCAACGCATTCCTCTTTCATCTGCCATACCCGAGTGGCTGGGGCAGTGTAACAGGCCGGGGACTGGAGCCCAGGTATTGCCGCCTACCGTGAATAATAACGGGGCTACTGGCCCCCGTTCATTGAGCACCTGCTTTCTGCCAGGCGCTCCCGCCTGGTCCCAGGAGGTTGGTACCTCCGCCATCCCCATTTCACAGATGCGAAAGCCGAGGCACAGCGGGCCCCAGGCACTCGCCCCAGGTCCCACCCTAGAGCTGGGCGGGATGCAAAACCCAGCTTGGCAGGCCAAGATTCCAGCGGCGCTGCCCACACCAACGACAGCTTCTCAAAGAGCAAACAAAATAATAGTAATCACGTCGCGCGGCTCGGGGACGGCGATGAGTGGTTTCAATTAGTGATTCACTTTCCGCGACCGGCGGCCCGGCCGGCGGCGGCGGGCGGCGGGCGCGGGGTCTGGGGCAGGGGCGGCGGCGGGTGGGCGCGGGTCCCCTGGCCTGGCCGGGAGTTTCCTGTGCCGCGCAGCCGCCCCGCGGTCCCGCGTCCGGCGCTTTGTTCTCCTGCCCGGCCCGGGCCGTCTCCCAGGCCCAACCTGCTCGCAGTTGTGCTCTGCCTTCTTCCCTGTTGGAAGCAGGGCCGCAGGGCAGCCTGCCGTGCCCGGTGCCTGCGCGCCCCTCCCTCCCGTCTGCGCGGTTCCCGGCATCTTGACCCCAGGGAGGGCCGTCGTGGGGTCAAAAGAGCAGCCCGGTCCCCTCGGGCCCTCCGCCGCCGCCGCCCGCCGCCCTCCGCCCGCCCGCCGGCTGGCCGCTGAGTCACCGCTTCCACAGGAGCCGGCTCCGATTTCCTGCCCCCTCGCCCTCTCTCCCGTCATTAATATTGGGGACGGTTCAGCTGGAGGCGAGGCGAGGCTCAGCGCCGTCCGGGGAGGACCACCCCCTCGCTGCAGCTCCCCCTCCCCCACCCTCACCCCCACCCCGCCCCGTTTTCCCCCTCCAGGCTTCCGTCTTCCGCTCAGGCCTCCGGACCTCGGAGGGCGCCCCCCAAATCCACCTGTCCCGACTTCGCCAGCAGCCGAGCCCCCTGTGGGTCTCTGCCCAACCCAGGGCCCCGCACTCTCTCTGGCTCCCGCAGTGGACGCTGGGGGCCCCAGGGTGCTGCTGTTCGGCCGCTCTGCTGTCACAGGCTCCCTGGACTCAGACACAAGCCGAGCCGCAGCCGCCTGGCACTGCCCAGCTGCAGTCCCTGGAGGTGCTGTCCACGCTGTGCCCTCTGCCGGGACTGCCCTTCCCTCGCCCCTCTGCCCTGTGCCCTGGCTCATCCTTTCACACCCTCCTGCTCCTCTGACCCCCTCGGTCACCCACCCGGGGAGGTCAGAGGAGCCCCCACCCACCGGGGAGCCCCCAGCCCCTCACACAGCCCACCGCTGCAGGTCCGCCCACCTGGGTCGTCACTGTCTGTCCTCGGGCCTACCTTCCCCGTTGGGCTGATAATAGCTCATGGGGACCGATTCTCCATCCTTCTCTCTGCCTTCTGTCCACCTGCCCCAAAGCCTGCAAGGGCACCCAGGAAAGGAAGCACAGTTACTGTTTTCTGAGGCTCTTGACTCCTCCCCCGCAGCCAGCGTTGTGCACCTCAGGCCCCCCGGGCGTCCCAGCGCCCTGACCTCTCTGCACCCCAGCGTCCCCACCTGTGGAACGGGAACGAAAACGCTGGCACTCGCAGGCCCTTACTTGATCAGTGCTAGCCCCCTTCCCCTGGGAAACCGGATCGCGGAGTCTCTCCTCCACCTGTGGCCACCCTTGGCCTCGGCGGAGGCTCTGGCTCCTTGGGAATGGCTCAGTGGGACAGCTTTCTTGGGCGGTCTGGACCCTGGGGGCCAGCCGCGCCACGGAGGGGCACATTGCCGAACCCCCAGCAGATCCTTTCCAGGTCCTTCTGCCCCTTGGCTGTCGCCACTCCCCCCCGCTGCCTCGTGCCAGCCAAGTGCCACGGCCCTGTGCCGAGCCCCTCCCTCCCCGTCTGGACCCCACGACCGCCTGGCCCGGGAGGTACGCTTCCTTTGATTCCGAGTCGTTGAGCGCGGCCCACTACGTGCTAGGCAGTCCCCCGCCCCGGAGACTCAGCCCAGATGGGTTTTTCTCACCAGTGGGATCGCTGGTGAGGTCTTCTCTGGGGCAGCAGGCGGGGGCGGGTAGGGGGCTGCCCACCACCACGTCTTTGGGAAGGCTGCTTTGGCTGCGAGGGACTGAAACCCAACTCAAAATGCCTTAAGCCAACGAGGAAAAGTTGGCCCACGTAACTGAAAACGTCCAGAGGGTCGCTCTAGTTTCAAGTAAGACTGGCTCTGGGGGCCCGGATGATGTCATCAGGATTCAGTCTTCGAGTCACATGGAAGGAACAGGGTTCCAGTGTGGACAGACGGATGTTGGAGGGGGTTGGGGGGGGATGACCCAATTCTGGGTCCCCGGGGTTCTGGGAGGAGATAGTCACTCCTTCCCTAAGTCCTGTTCATCCTCTGCCGGGGCCAGCTGAGTCAGCGTGGCCGCAGGGGAGGGGCAGCCACAGGTGTTTTTACATCTCAGCAGGCCGCAGCAGGGTCACAGAGGTCATCAGGGGCGAGGGTCAAGCCCAGGTGAGGCCTGCCTTGGCGTCTTATCCCCCGAGTTCCCGAGGGGGCGAGGACATGTGACCACCACAGGTGGGCCCCATGGCTCCTGAGCCCTGGGGTGTTGAGCTCCCCAACCCTCTGAGTAAATCCAGACGCGTGTGAACCCATGTGCCAGGCCCCGTGCTGACCCTTCCGCATTCGAGAGTTTGCTTCACGCTGATGTGGGCGTGTGGGCCTGGGGAGGTGGGGTTTTGACAGGCAGTGCCCACGCTGCCATCCCGTCTCCTTGTGGGTGTGTCTGGGACTGGTCAGAGGAGACAGAAGTGAGCGGCCGTGGCAAATGCAGGTTCAAATCCTGGCTCTGCCATTGACAAGCTCCATAACCTTGGATAAGTCCCATTGCCTCTTTGAACGACTCTGTTTTCTTCTGCCAGGTAGAGTCTGCCTCTGTGAGTTAAAAGGATTAAATGAAATAAGGGATGCGCAGGTGCTGGCATGTGGTTGGCAGTTAATGAAGGCCGAATGAAAGAGCAGGGAGACCACGTGGGCAACGCACAGAGCGCCGGCCCTCTGCTGGCTCTGCCCCCTTCTCGGCACCTCCCCAGGAGGGGGTCCCCTAGCTCATGACTGTCTGGGGGCATTCGCAAGGGGTCCAGGAGGAGCCAGAGTCTGTTTTCTTTCCCGTGTGGCTCCCACCATTTCTATGTCAGAAGAACTCAAATCCGTTCAACCATAAAAGCTCTGGGCACCCCTGTCTTGGATTAAGGCCTGTGCTGAGCCATGAGACAACTGAGAAGCAGTCCCGACCTCCTGAGGCTCTTGGACTATTGAGGGGGCAGGCAGATGTGGAATTGCTTCTTTAGGGGGGGGGCTATGGGGGGGGTAGAAGGGGGTTCCAAGAGGGTCTAGAAGATGGAGTATATGAGCCCAGTAATGCTTGATACTTGAATGGAATATTGAAGAAAGAGGAGGAAGTAACTAGGGAGATAGGTAGCAGTCAAGGAAGGCTTCCGGGAAGAGGCAGTTGCTGAACTGAGCCTTGAAGGATGAAAGCAGTTTTCCAGGCAGGTATTTCAGGGTAGGGAAACATCATGGTGTGACCTTGGTTCCATTTGCTCTGACTGTTCCGTCGAGAGGGGCCAAGGGCCCTGGGCTCAGGTTGGATAGGCAGCTCCCATAATTATCCATGAGGTACCCAGAGCCCAGAGCCCACGCCCCTCTACCCCTTTGCACATATGCTCTGGCTTCCTTCCCTGCTCATCCCGCCAACTCCGTCCCCTGGGCCCTGCATGTGCCTCCCAGGCCCGCCCCCTGCCTGCCCTGCCACCTCCTCCTCGAAAGATCCCGTCCTCCAGACAATGTTTTCCTGCCCTGCCCGTCCCTTTCTGCAAAGTTCAGCACTTTGCAGAGCCCAGGCTTGCCCTCCGCTCAAAGGTGAACGTTCCTGGAAGCCCCAGCCTGTTTTCTACTTCAAACAAAAGGCTGGAACTTGCACCTCAGTCTCCGCGCACAGCCAGACCGCTGGGCTTCCAACTTGGCTGGGCATCTGTCCGTAGCGAGGAGTGGGCCCGGCCTAAATCTGGAGATGTTAGCTGGAAACTCCAGTGCTGCTAATTCAGGCCTCCCAGCTCCGCGTGTTTCCCACTCGTCCCCATCGAGCAATGCGGCTGTCTCGGGGCGGGTGGGTGTTGGGGGACTCAAAGCCTGCTGCCCCCCACCTTTGGTCCAGCTCAGGCCCAAGGAGGGGAGCCAGGCCCTCCCAACCACCTGGTCTTCAGCATTCATTCAGCAGTCCCTACTGTGTGCCGGGCTCATTTATGTCTTCAGCATTCACTCAGCAGTCCCTACTGTGTGCCGGGCTCATTTATGTCTTCAGCATTCATTCAGCAGTCCCTACTGTGCGCTGGGCTCATTTATGAGCGTCCTTCTGCACAAGGTTTCTAGGACCCGGGACGTCTCCTTGTCCCTGCTCGGTAAGGCGAAGAATCCGAGGTTTAGAGGGTGGGATGCACGGACCTGAGGTCACGCACGGAAGCTGTAGAGTTGACTCAGCTCCTGAGCCGAGTGCAGGTCGTGCTCCTGGCCCGGCAGAGCCCCCCGGAGTTTTCACGTGTCTGCGTGGGAGTCCCTGCAGCGAGGGCGCGGGCTTTGGGGTTGGGCCATGCTGCCGCGCTTACCCAGGGAGGCTCCTTCCTCCCTCACAGCAGATGCCGCAGTGCAGCCCATGAACTGTAGTGTTTACTGAACGTCATCCAGTGGCGTGTGAGCGGCAGTGGAGGAGCCGACTTCCTGTCAGGTTTTGGGCACACCTGTTAGCACTCCTTCCCATCACAAATGCTAGAACTCAATCTCAGCCGCTTCCAAGGACGTGGTACTGGCCCACGTGACAGTCAGGTGACTGCAGCTTCGGATGCAGCTGAAGGATGCGACCAGGACTTGGGTGTCTTATTCTTTTCCTCTTGGCTTTGCTCCCTCCGTGCTGGCTTTGTTGTCAAACAGGATTTCGCCTCGTGGTGGTGAAATGGCTTTGCCCTCCCTTTACTGCGGTGTCCGGGTGTAAGTCAGCCTGTTTGCAGGCGTTGTTGATACAGGGTCTCGGGGAACACCGATTGGATGGCTCAGGTCCCGTGTCCAGCCCTGCACCAGTCTCAGGAAATCATGTTTTGATTGGCTGCCTCTGGGTTTCTTGTTCTCGTAGAGTTGAGGTGGGAGCTCCTGGCTGCAGGGTGGAAAGTGGGGAAGGTTTGGATTCTTGAAGGATGCGGGGGCCCGATGTAAGAAGGCCACTTCAGCCCTGGCTGATGTAGCTCAGTGAATCGAGCGCGGGCTGTGAACCAAAGTGTCGCAGGTTCGATTCCCAGTCAGGGCACATGCCTGGGTCGAAGGCCACAGCCCCCAGCAACTGCACATTGATGTTTCTCTCTCTCTTTCTCCCTCCCTTCCTGCTCTAAAAAGAAATAAAAATTAAAAAAAAAAACAAACCTGGGGTACTTGAAAGGCTCTATACCTTTAAAAAAAAAAAAAAAAAAAAGAAGGGCACTTCACAGATCCAGGAAGTGAACTTGCTGAGGCCAGAGCTCGGGCCAGGCCTTCTCTCCTGTGCCGCCCCCAGGCCGTGGCCGCCCGCCCCTGCCCCCCTGCGCCCGCCCTGGCCCTCCTCACCTCCTTCTCCTCTCTCCTCCCGCAGCCTGACGGCACCAGTAAGGAGTGTGTGTTCATTGAGAAGGTCTTGGAGAACAACTACACGGCCCTGATGTCAGCCAAGTACTCCGGCTGGTACGTGGGCTTCACCAAGAAGGGGCGGCCGAGGAAGGGCCCCAAGACCCGGGAGAACCAGCAGGACGTGCACTTCATGAAGCGCTACCCCAAGGGGCAGACGGAGCTGCAGAAGCCGTTCAAGTACACCACGGTGACCAAGCGGTCCCGGCGGATCCGCCCCACGCACCCCGGCTAGGCGGCCGCCCCGGGCCCACGCTCACACTCCCCGAGAACTGCATCAGAGGAATATTTTTACATGAAAAATAAGGAAGAAGCTCTATTTTTGTACATTGTTTCCAAGAAGACAAAAACTGAACCAAAACTCTCGGGGGCGGGGGAACGGTAAGGACCTTATGGTTGACCCAAAACCCCCCTACGACAAAGACTCACTCGACGGGGAGACATCGTCAGCACCCAGGTGCGTGTCTCTCTCTCAGAACAGACAACGCTCAGCTCGTCCCCAGAGGAGGACTTGAATGAGGAAAACGACACTCTGAGAAACCAAAGTCCTTTTTCCCAAAGGTTCTGAAAACAAAAGAAAAACAAACAAAAAAAAAGGCAGAGAAAAGTAGTACCCCCCCACCCTCCAAGGAACTCCCCCTCTTTCCCAGTTTCCTGCCCCTGCCCCAGACTCCAACAAAAATCGCTCTCTGGTTTGCAGTCATTTATTTATTGTCCGCTGCAAGCTGTCCCGAGACACCGCGCAGGGAAGGCGTGCCCCTCGGAATTCTCGGCGCCTCGACCTCCGACGACAGAAGGCCTCGTCCAATCACGGCGACCCTGCCTCGCTCGCAGCCTGCAGGATGCTGCTATCGACCTTCCGTGACTCCCGTGACCTAGCACACCAATGATAAGGGAATATTTTAAAACCAGCTATATTATATATATTATATATATAAGCTATTTATTTCACCTCTCTGTATATTGCAGTTTCATGAACCAAGTATTACTGCCTCAACCATTAAAAACAATCGACAAATTATTTAAAAAAAAAAACAACCCACGAGGCATTGAGTGGTGGCCGGGGGCAGGGCGGCCCCTTTGTGTGTGGTTCTTCCTGGTCTTTGCGCTGAGAGCGGGGACCTTGCTCATTCATTCACTCACTCACTCACTCACTCACTCATTCATTCGACACCTGCTATGCTCCAGGTACCACGGATGCAGCCTTAAACGTAGCAGGTGGCAATCCCAGCCTGCAGAGAGATTACGTTCCAATGAGTCACTGATTTGACGATCGCTTCGGTTTTAAGATCACACACGTGTCCTCCCCGGCATCTCTTACGTGCCAAGGCTCTCGTCGAGGCACTGGAGGTTTATCAGACAACACGAGAAAAAAAAAATTCCCAGCCCACAGGGGACTTCACTTATAGCCGTTCACGGCTTCCTGGCTTCACTCGTTGATTGATGGAGTCACTTGTTCAGTGTCTATTTAGTAAGCCCTTCCTAAGTGCCAGGCACTCTTTCACGGACTGGGAGCTCACCAAAGACCCAGACAGACCAAAAGCAATCAGACTTCAGGGAGCTGGCCGGCTAGGGATTCCCGACCGAGTCCTTTGCAGAGTCCCCTCTGGCTTTTGCCAGGCGCAGGCTGGTGGTCCCCGGGTCCGTCTGGTGGCGGAAACCAGGGAGGTGGGGACCTGGCGGTGCTCTGCTCAGACCCTCGCAGGCTGGGGTCCGAGGAGTCTGTCTGGCCTCGCTGATGCCCCGCGCCCTTTCCTCCAGGTCTTCTCTTCCGGGGCTGCTCCAGAGTGTCAGGGAGAGAGACGGGGGGACAGGGGAGCTGGCCAGGCTGACTGAGGCAGAGGGAGCCTCCTGTGGGGTCCTACTGCTGTCACCTGCCTCCCTTGCAAACTCCCCTTGCCAAGACTGGCCAGAAGAGGTCCCTGTGAGGTCCTATGGAGAGAGAGGGGGCTGGGGGCCAGGGGTTAGAAGTGCCTTCTCTGCAGAGGGCCTCTGGCTGAGGGGGGGGGCGTGACCAGCTCCGAGCTGTGTGCCCTCAGCACCCCCACCCCCTAGGGCTCGGGCCAAGCCCGGCCGTTGCTTCTGCCCTGACTCTGCACTGAGAGTGTCTCTCTCTTTTCCTCCCCGGGCCTCGCCCCCCGTGTCTGGGGCTCCCTCTCCAGCCGGTCACAGCACATCCCCTTAGAGTTTCCAGGGCACAGTCTCCCTGTGGCCTCAGGATAACCCGTGAGAAGGGGACCATCATTATCCCAGTTTCACAGATGGGACTGAAACTCAGAAACGCGAAGTTGCTTTCGCAAGACCACGGAAGAAGAAAGTGATGGTTCCTGCATGCAAATGCTGTCCTCTCCAGGGTTCCAGTAGCTGCCACTCGGCCAGGGCCTACTGTGTGCCGGCTGCCTGCTTGGTGCTTCACACACACGACCCAGGCATCGACGAAACATCCCCGTGTGGGACTCAGGGACTCCTGACTCCCACGTCTGGCACAAAGACCAGGGGGCCACTTCTGTGGCCAGCCAGGTCCCTCTCAGAGCACCCTTCCCAAATTTGCTTCTCTGACCCAAAGCGGCAGAGGTCAGGGAGGAAAGGGCTGGGGTCTCCTGGTCTCAGACCCTCACCCTTCACCCCTGACCCCCACAGTGGCATGAACAGATGGGCTCAGAGTGACCTTTGAGTGCCTGACGCCTCAGCCAGCAGGTGCCTGAGCCTGAGACCCTTGGTGATGATAATAGTGAGTGTGGTGGTGGTTTACTGAGCACCTATTATGTGTTAGTTCCATTCACACTCTATTCCATTTAAACAACAGCCCTATGAGACGGGTGTGTGCTCTCTTTGGCCCTGGAAGTGTCAGAGCAGTGCAGTAAGTGACCTGCCCCAAACAATTCACGTGAGAAAATCGTGGGTCCAGGATTCCATCAATCGTTCATTCATTCAACGATAAATATGCGCTGAGCTCACTCTGTGCCAGATGCTGTTCTGGGGGCTGCAGCCACAGCAGCGACCTGAGCAGAGCCCCTGCCCTCGTGGACGGACCTTCTCCCGGGGAGGAGCGACAATAAACCAAAGAGTTATAAGCTATGATGTCGGGCTGCAGTCAATCAATCGTAAGGAAAAAATGAACTAGGGTGAAGGGGTGGAGGGGAGTGGGCGGTCTCCTCCCTCCACCTCCCTGCATCTTCATCCCTTTAGACTGGAGAGGTAGCAGCGGACACCCATGTTAATGACAGGGCCCTTAGAGGACCAATGACCAGTGACGATAGTGATAACGACCAGACCGTGGCAGGGGTGGGGGGGTGGGGGCAATGTGGCAAAAGGAGGTGCGTCAGGGCCCTTCCGGGGAGCACAAAGACCAGGGGGCCACTTCTGTGGCCAGCCAGGTCCCTCTCAGCACCCTTCCCAAATTTGCTTCCCTGACCCAAAGCGGCAAAGGTCAGGGAGGAAAGGGCTGGGGTCTCCTGGTCTCAGACCCTCACCCTCTGCCCCCCACCCCCACAGCGGTGTTGCCCTGTGAGCACGGGCCAGAAATGCGTGGAGGCTGGCTCTTGCCCTAGTGTTTCAAGGGGCTGGCGGACCAGAACGGGGGACAGGCCTCTGCACCAGGGAGAGACGTGGGTTTGGATGGGCGGGGAGGCGGGACAACCGGGAAAGGCTGTGTCTGGGGTGTTCCTGCCAAGCAGGTGAGCTCTGGGGAGAGGGGGTCCGAACAAGCCCAGGCTGCGTGCAGGAGGCGAGGGCGGCACCCTCCGCGCTGCTGCCGGCCCAGCTGGAGCCTAACAAGGCCGGCCTGGGATGCCCCGGGCTGGAGAGCCCCATAAACGGGCAGAGCCCCCCTCTGCATCGGGCCGCAGGATTGGGGCTTCCAGAGAAACAATGGTGAATTAGGTGTTAAAGATGTGAAGGCCGCTCCCCAAACAGGCAATTAGGTAGTGAGTCTGTTACAGACATTAGGCGGGAGTTGGGGACCAGATGGCGGCAAGGCTCACTCCGAGCCGTCCTGTCCCGAGCCGCCTGGCCTCCTGGCTGCGGTTCCCAGCGCTGGCAAGGAGGGGAGGCGGCAGGTAGCCCGATGTGTGGCCCCCTGCAGTGCGGGCCAGTAATTAATCAGGCATTCCTCCCCTCCCTCGGGTGGCCTCGCGACCTAATTAGCACTTGCTAGAATTTCTGCCCAGCTTCTCCTCCGCTTGCTTGCTTGCTTGCTTGCTTGCTTGCGGAGGGAGCAACTCTGTCCATGCTCCAGCCTCACCAGCTGACCACTCTGCAGCTGCAGGTCCTATGTCACCCTCTGGGGCCGGGCAGAGGTGCTGGCTGATTTTTAAGAGTGTCGGAGACTTAAGTCTCACTTGCCCACCTGCCCCATGCGGGGCTAACTATCATCTGGTGAGCGCTGGCTTTGTGCGGGCAGATTACCAGGTTCTCTTACACAGTTCTCACCACGGTCCCCTGAGACGGTTATTTTTATCTGCCCCACCAGGGAGGAAACTGAGGCTCAGAGAAGGGAGGTCACTTGCTCGATCGAGTTCGTCCGTCTGACTCCCCAAATCCAGCTGTGACTCTTACACGTCAAAGCAGCCCCCCAGGGAGCTGGTGTCACCCCTGTTTCGCACGAGGACAGAGGGTCAGAGAGGCAACGTGACATGCCCCAAGTCACACAGCGGGGCCAGGGTTTGAAACGAGGTCGCCAGGTTCTAGAATCTCACCTCTCCACTCCTCCCGACCCTCCGCTCCTGTCTGGGCGTTATTCTGGATTCTTTCGGCTACAAGTGACAGAAACACATGAAAAATGACTTAAGCCAGGAAGGAAATTCATCAGGATGACAATACTCAAGAGAAAGCATTCTGGGAAATGCCAGCCTGGGGCAAGCAGTTCTGCGGCTCCGTCCCCACACACAGCGCCGGGCAGGGGCCGGGGCCGGGGCCAGGGCTGGGTGGGGGGAGGGGGCGGTGCACCCCACCCTTTCTGGGTCTGGGTCTCCTTAGAGGACTCGCCCCAACTTCGAGGTGGAGGAGGTGAAATATCCCAAGTTTCCTTCCTCCAGGCCATCTTGTATCAGGGGGAAGTTAGTGTTTTCTGCTTCTTAAACTCAGATTTGCAGGGGAACGACTTCCACTTAACTTTTGCAGAAAGATTAGTGGCTACTATGAAACTAGTTTTCACTCGGGAGTAAATCTCAACTAGGTAGCACATAGATTCTACAGGGAAGGTAACTTTAAAAAAATGTTTAGGGCGTTCATGAGTAAAAAATGTGAGAAGACCCCAAGCTAGTCCAGGCCATTCATCTGGACACTCGACACCCACACGGACATCCAGCCCCAAACCAGAAACACCCCCGGCCCCTGGCTGCTGGCCTGCCTTCTCCGGCACAGCGCCCCGGGGAGCTCGCGGTTGGGTGCCGAGAACAACACGAGTGTGCAGACAGAGGCTCAGGCTCTTTGGATGCACAGATGGCGAGGGGCCTGACAGGGAGAAGGGCGAGGGTCCAGGAGGCTCTGGAATGCTGAGCGGAGTTTGAGCTGCGAGGAGAAAGCAGGGAAGGGCAGAGCAGGCAGAAGGAACAGCAAGTGCAAAGGTGGAGAGGGCCAAGAAGATCCGAAGGTTCCCAGAAATACGGCCTGGCCGGCGTGCGGCACTCCGGCATTGTGCGCGTGCGTCCACATTCACACACACGCTGCCCTGCACAGGCGCGGGCAGTCACACTCAGCCGAGTGTGCACACCAGCACTGTGACAGCACCTAGTCATGTATCTCTTCTGCCTACCTTCCCTCCTGCTTGCGACATTTTCTGAACGCCTCCTCCATGCTGGGTCCCTGGGGGTTAAATCAATGAACCTGGCAGTCTCTGCGCCCGTGAGTCTGAATTGAAGTGACAGACAGTTGCAATTATACTGTGACAATGCGCACCGTGGGCAAGGGTAGTACAAAGGAGGAGTCATGGAGGGCTTCCTGG